AATTTTGGGGGGTCCCCTGAAAAAAGACGCACCTTGTTTGGCTTCGTTTAGAGCCAAGCAGAGGTAGCACATCACATTATTTGTCTCAGGCCGGTCCAGCCTGGCGAGACCAAGCGAGGGAACAAGTTTGATACCTGCTGCAGGAGCACTCGTGCCCTTCATCAGCAGGGGGCTGTTGTAATATGGGTCTGTCATTTTCTGCGGGTCCCTTGTCGGGGCTGGTTGAAAGGGAAGCCACATGGAAGTACCATCTTTTCGGGGGTCCCCTATTTTCACACATACCCACATGGCTATGGTTTGGATGAGTTGGAACCTCAGAAGTGTCTGGTGGACGTCCAATTGGTCGCTTATTGAAATTCACACCCGTACGTTTGAAGCCGTGCCTTGCACGAGGCTTGAGTTGGCAAGCCGCACGCTTGAAACCGCGAGCTTGCAGGATGTGTGCGATGAACAAGGCCAGAGCGATGTCTGGTTACTTACGCTTCATCTCACTCAGATAGCTGGGCTCAAATGAGACATAGAGCCGCCAATGACTGTACAAAGGGTACCCCGATTTCAGCTGGGGTTGTTTGGGGTCGTTTTAAAGCGAAACGCATCGCTCATTGTTGGTACACACCCACATCCAAAGAGCACTTGGCGTCATTGCTTGGTGTAAGCTGGCAGGGCAGCGGATTTCATGACCCTACCTGCGGCGGCAACACATCTGCGGCACCAGTGTCGGCACGCAAGAAGGCTTGCGACTCGGGAATTCACAGAAGCAAAGAGGTTCGCCTCCAAAGATGCAAGCTGGGCTTTGGTTGGTCTTTGCTGTTCCTTAACCCCAAAAAGGGTACCTTCGAAACCCCCGCATTTGCGTGCTTGACCGGTTCTGATTGAGTTGTCCGAATGCGATGATCGGCTTCCCACCACCAGATTCCACATGCACAGGGTGTGGCTCAAAGCTAAGGACCTAGGGGCACAGCAGCTTTTGTGGATTTTGTCTACCAGGGAATTGGAGGGTCGATCCTTGCGCCTCAGCCAATATTGCCAAGAAGTATATCCTCGTAGAGCAAACCTGAAGCTGCCCATTGAAAAAGGTGCCCCCCCCCCCCCAAAAAAAAAAAAAAAAAAAAAAATCAAAGGAGCAGAATAAAACCGTACCTGAAAAATCCTCTTCGGGAAGTTGTGCCTCACAAAGGCTCTTGGATCATTCCTCGCACACGGCACCTGAGTGACTTGCCCTGCGTGAGCTTAGGCCTGCAAGGCCGGGTCCAAGTGCAGGAACCGCACGGCGGCTCATTTGGAGGCAGGGCCTGTAGAGAATTGGGTGTGGCTCAAAATTAAACAGGGGTTACGCAGGTTTTGGTCCATGTTTCCACTTACCAGGGTTCTGTTTTGGTACCGGTTTCTTGAGCCACAGCCAATTACGATCCGTTGAATGGGTTGAACCTTTCACTGCCAGGGATTGAATTTGGGTGGATGGTCTACTGTACAAGGGAGACAGCCCAAATTGACCCGCGTGGGATGTGGGGGGGGGGGAGCACCCGATGGAGGAACAGACATGATATTTCGTCTACAGTATCCCTATCACATGTGTGTCGGTGTGTAAAAATAGGGGATCCCCAAATGGCAAAATAGGGGACCTGCGAGAATGGTTCCCTGTTGGTTTGCCTTCAAAACAAACGGTCCCTGTGGTTTCCGCTTAAACCCGAAAGGGTGCCTTTCGTCAAAAAAAAAACGCGCCCAAAATGGTGGTTCATCATAGCCTTGGATTTCAGTTTGTGTAACATGCTTGGCTCGGCACAATTTGATGGTTTTCCTTTGGGTGAAAAATGGGAACCCTCAAAACATACAGACCCAAATCGGGTCTCGTTTTGGCTTAAGACAACCCCTCAAGGGTAGCGAGGCTCAAAAAGGCACACACCCACATCAATCTTGGGTGAGAAGCAATCACAAGACCCGGCTGATTCTGATTCAAGAACAAGCAGGCGGAAAGGCTCAGCGTTGGGTTCGTGTGAAGCCAACAGGGTATGAGGTTTACCCTTTCTCCAACTAACATGGCACCTGTGGGGAGGTACCTGGAAGATGAAATTCCTCTTGAAGGGATTCTCTGTCACTTGCCATGTGGGAGGGAGGGTAGCTGAAAGGGCCCAAAGGGGCATCACTTGGACGTGAGGGTGGGAATGGCCATCCTTGCGAGCAGCCTCCTTTAGGTGCTCTGGGTTCAGCATGCAAAGATATTTTGGACATTTGAAGAGGCGAGCGACAGGAAGCACTCTCTAAGGATGAGACAGCTTCGGCATATTTTGGGATACTGCGGACGGGCGAAATCCTGCACCACCTAAGAAACCCTGGACCCTGTAAATACACAGGAGGGCAATGTCTCCTGCGGATGAACAAGACATCAACTACTAGCTAGGAATCAACGAAAAGGCAACCATGAGAGCTGGTCTGGACCTCATTCCCTACTGAGAACCACAAAGGGCCGGAGTAAGTCGAGAAGCCAGCGGATTGCAGGCCGAAGCACATCCACTGGACGAGGACAGGGCAGACTTCTCGCACCCAAGCGTGTGGCTTGACCTGCTTCCGAATATTTGACAGCTCATTGAGCTCTAGCTCAGCGATCTGGTTTCTTGGTGAATTTGCTTAGTGTTGCGCATTCAGCTCTCATTTGAGCCAGATATGTAACCAGCCACAGAGAAGAAACAAGAGACATCTGTCAGAGGAACAAGATGGACAGTTTGCACATTCCTTGTGCGCAAGCAGCCGCCTGGCGCGCCATGGGGAAGAAGAAGGCTCCAAAGGAAGAGCCAAGAGAAGAGCCGCTCGTGCGGCTCATGCAGCACGGGAAGCTGACGAAGCCCTTCAAGCAGTGCCTCGTGGAGATTTTCTCCCGCTTCGATTCCAACGGTGACAAGATCCTTGACAAGGATCAGGGTGGCTGGTTTCAACCAGACCGACCCGTGAAACGGGCCTTTTAAAGGGACATCAAGAGGAGTAGTGTTCTTAAACGTGTGTGTGGTTGAGTTCATGGTGCAAACCAGGGGCCCTGAATTTCTGAATCCTCCTCCACCACCCCAGTTGCAAGGAGGAGCTGCAAGCATTCAGCCGTGCTGCAAACGTGGATGGCCGAGAGTTCAAGGACGTCCAGATAGGGTTCAGACCCCCAACATTGTCATTTTCCTTTCGATGTCCCCCCAAAAACCGACCGACAAAGGGTACGTGGCGACCCACAAAGGGCACCTCGCGACCCACAAAGGGTACCTGGCAACCAAAATACACGGGTTTGTGACGGTTTGTGTCTACCTTGGACCCCCAATTTGGTCGGTTTCCGTTTGGTTCCCAAGACCCACGAAGGGGGACGAGTTTGAGCACATGAAGGCGGAGTTCGACTGGGCAGAACACGAGGAAGACGAGACCGGAGCCTTCGGCGGTTTGACGCTCCGCGGCTTCGTGGAAACTCGGAGACGAGAAAGAGACGCAGATTTGGGCCCCTCATTCTTGGGTGGGTGTTCACATCACCGCCGCGAGCAACAAGCATCTGCCAGAATTGTGAGTATTGGTCAGGGTATTTCGTCAGGGCCCGCTTTGCAGCATTGAACGATTCCATCAATTCGCCGGCGGAAGTGGGCTTTGCTTTTGGCCAATGACAAATAATCACTGGGGGAGTGGCATGCCCCAAGGCCTTCAGGGCGTAAGAGCTAAGTTGGGCTCCCTCACACCCTCCCCCCTTTCAGCCTCGTGAAATAAAGTTTCCGGCGCCGAAATTTCAGCTTTGAAACCTTTTGGACCATGGAATCTATTTCCCTACCATCAAACATAAATCTTTCTGCCTGATCACTTGAAGCTTCTTTTCGGTTCCGTTGGACACCTTGTGATTGCTGCACCCTAAGAGTTATCTTCTTGGAGGATCCAATTTTTTGGAGACGTGTCAACGAGAACCAACCCAGCTATCAGCAAGTCGAACTTGCATTCCATTTTTCACCTTTCGGACTCTCGGACAATGAAGATTCTGAGACGTCCCATCAAAGATTGGATCCACTTGGGTTTGTCTCAATCTAGCAGACCCCCACATCAATATGAGTGGTTTCCTTTTGGTTTTTTTCTTACCAACCAGAGAAACTGGGTGCCCCCAACCAAAGACGGCAACCCGCTTGGTGACAGAGTCGAGGAGATGTTTACGCAGCAGACTCGGGTCTCGGAGGCTGAGAGTTGGTCGGACCTGGACCGCTTGGGCTACGACCGGGACCTGAAACGGCGACAGGAGATGAGTCCGGAGATGGCGGCTTTGGCTTCTCCCAAGTACTGGGGTGCCGGACCTTGTAATTCCCGGGTGCGTCTTTTTGGTTTTCGGGAGGGTGCCACGCTCTGCTTGTTTTTGGGGGGAGGGGGTCCCCGATTTGGGAAACAAGGGGGAAGGGACATGTCCAGTATTTTGATGTCAGTATTTTCTCAAGCAATGGTTCAAGCCATCAACTCGCTTCCCAAGTTGGGACTGCGCCCCAACAAGCTGTGGAGTGGTCCCAGGCAGGAGGGTTCAGTCAAGGGCGGTTGGGGATAGCGCCTGGGCTTATGTTCTTTCGGAAGAGGGTTTTGAGTGGTAAACACAGGTTAGACGGTTTGAGCCAATCGACTCAGGAAGTGGGTAGGGGGTAAACCGAGCGGAAAGTCATGGTGTAGGTGCTCGAGGCAATTCAGGTTTAAGCTACTTCTTGTAGAATTTGCGGATCTCACTTCGAGACTCAACTGACCTTTTCGCCTTTTCTGGCCTTTTTTTTTCCTTTGTTTTCTTTTCGCACACATAAATATAAGACAAACAGAACATAAATGGTGTGTTTTCCTTTAAGTTCAAGTACTCTATATAGTGCCGCGAAAAAGGTACCCTTTCTCATAGCGACTGGCATTTGTAGACTAAAAGCCTGGCCGAGGTGGAGCTGCTGAATGGCTTCTATCAGTCTTCGGAGCAAGACCTTGCGCTTGATGTCTCGGCGGAAGAAGCGCAGGAGATCGAGGCGTTGACCACATCGTTGGGGTTGGAGTGCCGAGTGCTGCAGTCCAATGGATCTGAGCAGCTGCACGTCTTCAAGCCGCCGGCTCCTGTGGAAGAAATGGAGCCTGGAGATGATGTTGAGGAGGGAAGGTCTGGCGATTGCGTTTTCTCCGCTCTGGAGCTGGAGGTTGAGAGCTCTCAGCTCTTGTTGGATACATTTAAGGACTCGATACCAGAGGGATGGGTGGTTTACGCACACCACATGACCATCTGCTTGGGAAGTCTGGAGGATGCCAACTCGAACGGCAGCGCTCTGCCCGATGAGCGGAGGGCCGCGATCCGCACGCTGCGGCCCAAGGATCTTCGGATGCTCCGAGTGGTGTCCATCGGAAAGGGCAGTGGCGTCCTTGCTGTGGGCGTCGTTGGCTGCCCCTCGGTGAACCGCGTTCCGCACCTTGGTTCGCCTTTCACTGTATAATTACTGTATGCTTTTGCAGAGAGGGCGTTTTAGAGCACCTTTCCCGCCAGTGACAGGCACATCACCCTGGCCTGCGCCAAGAACCACCGCCCGGTGGAGAGCAATAGCATCTCTAGCTGGGCGCCGCTGCCTCGGAAGCGGCGCGACAGAGGCGACGGAGGCGACGGAGGCGGAGGCCTCGGCCCGGTGCTGCGGGGCGTGGTGCGCCAGTTCTCCCAGCGGGCGACTGCCAGGCGCGGTGGCCGCCCGCACACCCACACACACTCACATCCACCACCACCCCCACCCACCCGCACCCACACCCACCCACACCCACCCACACCCACCCAACTCCCACCCACCCACACCACCCATACCCAAGTTTTGAACTGAAAGGAGGTTGGATGTGGAGCCCTGGTTCCCTTGGGTAAGGAAACCACCTGGAACACCTCCAAACGATAATCCACTTGGGTGTGTGTCAAAATCGGGGGCCCCCAGAGAAGGCTCGGTGTCCCTTTGGTTTGCCTTTGAACCGACCCAAAAAGGGTATCGGGCCTCGAACGAGACGAGCCACTTCACTTAGTTGCTCTTAGTTGGCACGAACACCCAAAATCAATCAGAAAGGGAAGCAGCGAAAGCAACCAAGATCACCCTCTGGTTGGCTTCCACCAAGGATTTGCCCCTTTTAAAAGGAACCTAGTCCAAGCCAGGACCCCGAAACGTCCGGTTTTCCATGAAAGTGGAAGGGACCCTTTTTGGATAGTTTTCAAAGGACACCGAAAAGGGAATCCGCCAGCCATTTTTTGGGGGTTTCTCTCCTCCTTGCCCCAAAAAACGCCCGGCTGCGGGTTCCCCCCCCGCCCGGCCCGGCTTCGCCCCAGCAGCCCGCTGTCGGCAGGCCGCTGACGGCGCAGGTGGAGCGCAGGGACCTCAAGGAGCGGCTGCGGGACTTGGAGGTGCAGGTGCTGGCGGCCAGGGCCATCCGCCTGCAGCAGCTGGAGGTGGGACTGGTGGTGGGCCCGGCGGGTGGGTGGGTGGGGTGGGGTGGGTGGGTGGTCGTTTCGGAGGTGCCCCAACTTGCGGGTGGGTTTTTTGGGGAAGCCACAAAGGACGGCGACCATGATTCGGGTCATCTTTTTTGGAGTTGGTACCCCCTTCTAAGGTGGTTTGACATGGAATTCGAAGGGAAACAACCACCCATTTTGCGGGGTCCCTTATTTTGAGACAAAGCCAAACAGGGAACCTCTTTTTGGATGGTTTCGAAGCGAACAGGAAGCCACGAGGAGTCCCTGTTTTTGAGAAACATTCACGAGGACCCGAAATGCGTGTTTTGAGTTGGTAGTCCGTTTTTACGGCTTGTTTCGACGGGAAACCATTTTTTTTTCTTCTCTCCCCCGGCTATGTCTGTCATGGGTGGTTGCCAACTGCTTGGTCTGTCGAACGAATCCTGTGCCGAACGAAGCCTACTGATGGATGAGCTCCGCTCGCACCTGGAAGCTATGGGAAGCCATCGTTATTGGCGTTGGGGAATCATGGCTCCAGGGTTTCTGAATGCTGCGAAATAGATTTCGCCACCACACTATCTTGGGCTGGTCCAAGTCTCATCAGGCAATCCTTGGTTGGGGCTTGGTGGTTTGGATTCGGATTTATTTGCGCACATTTCCTGGTGCTTGAGGGTACCTGGGATGTCCCACGGCCCGTTCCACCTCCATACCACCGGGCTCCGTCTGCGTTTCAGGTGGCTCAGGCGCCCGAGGTGTTGCAGCAGGCCATCGAGGAGCGCCGGCGCGAGCTGGCGGCCCTGACGGACGCCGCGACTTGCGCCGCCGCGGAAGTTGGTGCGGACGCGGAGTCGAGCGGCTGGGAGGCGGCGAAGGTGAAGGATAAGCGGAAGAGCGGGAAGAAAAGGCAGTTTGGAGGGAGGGATTGGAGGGGGTGGAGGTGCGAGAAGGGTGGAGGAGGGGTGGAGGAGGGGAAGGCAAAGGTATGAGCGCCAGCGATGTCCCCAATTTTGGTGGGCTTGGAATGGAAGCAATCGACTGCCCCTCAAGCATTCAACGTTGCGTTTGGGTCCTTTTTGGCTCGAATGGCCTGAGATCCCCACAGAACATTTTGCCTGGAGTTTCACAAAGACGTGGCTGTGGGTCAAAACCAATGGGACCATTTTGGGGGTTTTCGGTGCACCACCCATTTTGGTCTATGTTAGTGGGGATTGGGACGTTCACTGGGGGTACGATTTGGATTTTGAGCCATGGCCATGTGAGCCCGGGGCCAAACTACTCGTTTCCCCAAGAGAACATGGGAAATTTGGGTGGTTCCACCATGCATCAAGAAAGCCAGACAGTGGGAACAGGTTCAGGATTACCTACCCCCTTAATCGGAGGCAGGGAATTATTTCAAGTGGGGACCTAATTAATGCCGGACCAAATTCACGTTGTCCCAGTATTTATTCATGGGGTTTCATCCATCCCAACTAATGTGAAGTGGATTTTGTCCATCCATTCTACAGTATGAATCCGCCCCCGCACCCCCCCAAGCAAAGAAAAAAAGCAACACATCAGGGCTTTGTTTGCTTTTGTGGGGAACCCCTCCCCGATCAGTCCGCAAGCTATCCACACCACGTCCCATATTCAGCGCGAATCACCTTCTACGAGCCCCTTGCAGGGTTCTACCACCCTTCTCGAAAAGCGCAGGACTATGCCATCGCGTGCTCCATGTCGAAGGCCCCGAAGGGGGACGAGGGAGCCCCAGACACCGCAGCAGCATGTGGAGGTGTGTGGTGGCTTCCTTCTTTGGGCGGGGGGGGGGGGGTAGATGGAGACAACCAGAAACTGGAGGTGTGTTGGGCTGCTGGTGGTGGTGGTGGTGGTAGGAGCAGGTTTATGGGGTGTGTTTTTTGTGGTTTGGCCCCCCCCATCCTTGCGAGATCAAATAAGAAAGGTACGCCTTAGCCTCCAAACCAACCCAAATCACTAACCCAATCCACCAGTTCATGGCTAGTGTTTTCTTCTTCTTCCGTTTTTTAATTAAGAAGGAGTCACCTCAAACGTGGTTGGTGAACTCACTGCATTTCCTACCGTGGATGGACGACATCCTGCACCACTTTGCAACCATGGTTGAAGCCGTTTTTCGTTGCCTTCCAGGGTTTCTGAATGGCGGTGCGGTTGATGGATTTCGCCACCACCCACCATTCTCTTGATCAGAAATCCGACAGGATGTCCAGCCCGAGCCCCTGACTCTCCGCGTCATCTTCGTGCGGGTTCCCGGTTCCCGGGTTCCCGGTGCGTCTGACGGGGGGCTTTCGCCCCATGGCCAACCAAACAAATGGCACCCTCAAGAAGAACAGCAGGCCCATGTACATGTTCTCCAGCCGCGTTGCGCATTTTTTTTTGCACCAGGGTCGCTCTGGTGGCGTTTTCCGCCGCAAGGACTGGAGCGATTCCGATGGCTCCGGGAAGCTGTCCCGCGGGGAGCTGGAAGCCTCTTTGGGCAAGATCAGGACAGCGGTCCATGATGTCAATGTTGACCCCGGGTTGAAGAATTAGGGGCCGAACGCGCGCTGAAAGGGTGACCCCCCCTTCTGAATGAGCCAGGGCTTTATCATCCGGGGTTCCCATTGATTCAGAGACTTGCAAGAGCCGACGGTGGACCGGAAGTCGGAAGGTGGTCCCGCCACCAGCAAACGGAAACCAGGGGATCCCCCATTTAATTCGGATCATCCAAAGCAGTGGAGTTGGTGCTTCGATGCATGGTATTTGTGCTTAAACTTGACGAAAGAAGGCTAAACCTGACTGCATGCAGGGCGTGCTGTGGCTCGCTCCCTGAAGTCACAGATGAGGCGCGCTCATTGCCGCGAGCACCAGATCAGCGCATGGATTGCAATGTCAAGCTTGCTAACCCGCGCTCTTTCGTGCCTTCTAGGGTTGTCACCCCCAATCCTAATGGAGCAGGGCCGAATAGTGCCTAGGTCCGTCGGCGTCCATGGGGCCCCTTTGCTGGGGGATTCCCTTGGGGCGACCCTTGACATACCGTGGATATCATCCGGATGGATAAGCCATCCACCAAGTGCAGCATGCAGCGTGGGACTTTGTCCATCGACCGGGTTCTTTTGCCTCGCCACGCTTCGACCCTGTGAAGTTGCATCGTTTCCTTCAGGCTTGGCATCACCTCGACGAGGACTGCGCAACTGGCGCTGGGCCATGAAAAAGGGAGTACTGGTCTAAATAGGTCTGTCGACGTTTTTAAGGGGCCTACAGACCAAGGTGTAGTCCCATGGCCAGCTCGGTGCCTTGCAGGACGGCAACGGCGTGGTGAACTTCGGCGAGTTCGCGGCCTGGGCGGGGCCTCGCCTGGGCCTGGAGCTGGGCCGGGGCTCCCGGACCCGAGGTTCGGTGGCCCCGGCGACCGAGAAGACGGGTTGCCCAAAACGGGTGGCCCATGGAAACACGGGGAGAAAATGCTGGCATGTGGAAACATGGGCCAAGATTTGGGTAAGCTGTTTAGTTTGGAGCCACGCCCATGGTATTTCGGGTCTAGAGCTGGTTCGCTCAGGAGTGTAATCAGATTGGTATTGGGCCTTGAGCTGAGGTACCCGGCACACCAACTTTTGGGGGACTCCTAAAGGACACCGCCCAAGCCAATCCGCCCAAGCCAATCCGCGACCAAAACTGCCCCCCAAGCTGGAGGCGTGCGAGTGCGGCCGAGGTGTGGCAAAGATGCTCGGCAAGCTGCGCTCCAAGGGATACCGGTGGTTCTTGTCGCCTTTTGTTCCTTTTGTGATGTCCACCAATTGTCCCTTTTCACCTTGGTTAAAGTGAAACCAGAAGGACAGCCGTTTGTCTTTTGTCTCCCTTTTTGGTGCCCACATCCTCCTTTTTGTTTCCAGAGATCACGGCGACACGGCTTTCGCTTTCGAAGACGAGGTCTGCGAGTCTCATGCTGGCAGCTTCGCCCTGCAGCGTTCTCGGCTGCCCGTGCGAGAAGTTCTGTGGCAAGGAGGCATCCTGTGGGAGATGAGAGAAACGAGGGTTCTTGCTCGGGACCCTGCAATTTCGTGCTGGTCGATAAGCAGGGAATGAGAAATGCCTCAAAGGGGATCCTGGGTTCATTCCCTGATTCCCTGCTGAGCACTAGCAAGTTAACATGGAACCTGAAAAGAAGGTAGCCTTGAAAGGGTATTCGTTTACACGTGGTATTATTATTTTTGTTTTTGGGGGGTTCCATGTTCATTTTTGAAAGCGCGCGTTTCACATTCTTGGTGGTTTCAACATCACCTCGTGGGTAGATGATGCTTAAGCTCTCTTGATTGTTTACATAGTCTTGGGTCGATCCATTCGATACATGATTGCGAAAAATGGGGCGGGGGGGGGGGGGGGGTTAGGTTGCCACTGTTTGTGAGACCACGGAAGCCTCCTTGAAAGTGATAGAGTCACGGGGATGGGAATCCAACTTTCAACTTTAAAGTATCACAGGAAGGGGCCCATTTTCCTCATGGCTCGTCCTGTGGTTCTGAGAGATGAGTGAAAACGCTCATGAAACTACTGAGTCCATGAAAGTGAAATGCAGTTTTCGGGGGTTGTCTCTCCTTAAGCCTCCAATTTAGCTCGGATCATTTTTGGAGCATGTCTCATGCTTGCTAAAATGGGCCCAGCGCCAGTTGAGGGGGGGGCTTTGGGGCTTTTGACGCGCAGACCCCAACACCAGACACCAGCTGGACACCTTGGGGGCCTTGACTTGGCATCCATAGCTCGGTACGGATGCCCCTGCCTTTTTTTGCAGGGCTGCTTAAAATATTCCATTTTGCGCATGTGAAACATGTTGCTTCTTCCACTAAAATAAAGGGAAACAACCATTTACAAGGCAATGTTCGGATCCCTGTATTGCAAGAGCTGTAAGCCAACCCTACGAAAAACCGCAAATCCATGAGAAATCACGGTCAAGTCGGATGTTTCCTTGCTCCCATATTTGCAATATTTGGAGCATCCACCGTAGAGGTGTGTTATTTCAGCTGTTTGTAAGGGTCATTTGGAGGTTCAGGCTTCTCTTAAGGCGTGGCTTTTTTGGGATGGTTGAAACCCTTGAATGTCGTTAGACCCTGCAGGTAGGTGTCCTTTCGGTGTTCCTGTGAACACATACACAAAATTTGTCTTTCTATTTGAGAATCGAGTGACTCCCGACGGCGCATTCTCATTTTGCCAGGACGAAGCGTCAGACAAGAAGTGCAAGGCTTGCTCTTCGGGCGTCATTTTTACGGTCCTACTGCAGAACTCACATGAACACAACCCGCCCATCGGTCCCAGTAAGACTTATTTAAACCACTGACTTTGGGGGCATGTCCGTTTGGGGAATGTAGGACCGGTTAGGAGCATTGCAGCTACGATCTTCTTCTTGCTGGTGCTCAGAGGGAATGACCCCACGCAAATTATCCGGTTCCTATGGTTTCCTTATCAACCCAGGGATTCCCTGAAAGGAAGCCACAAGTCGGAGGGTTGAAATCGGGGTCATTCCATTTCTCGTTCCCTACTTCTCGCACCGATCGCAAGTCGTGCCTCCAGTTTGCCAGGAGTGTAAACACAAGAAAGGCCTTCACGTGGCAAAGGTCACGACCGGAGAAGTGCCGTCTGGGCCCCAGCGAAGTTTTTTGCTCTTATGGAGGTTGGACCAGTCACTTTGGTTGCGGCTCTCCTTTTGGTTTCCCTTTGAAACCAACAAAGGGGTATCCCCAAAAACAGACACACCCAAAAAGTCTCTTTTCGCCCTTTGGTGGTTTGGATTGGTTTGGGGAACCCCTGGTTCTTGTAGAGGGTTTGGGCAAGCTGATTTTCAGATTGGTTTTCAAGATCAGGTTTCCGCCGTACTGGAACCACCACGACGGCGAGTTCAACGAGCTCGTCCCCATGACAGGCGAGCGGTTTGAGCCGTTTAAGCCACGGTCAACACTACCGGTTTCGCCAAGAGGACACGGGATCATTGGCGAGTCGCCTGGTTTTTGTGGGGGAAAAAATAGTGAGCCTGCCAGGATGATAGGGCCGTTCACTTTCCAACTGGGTGTGGCTCAATATTAAGGACTCAGCCTCACCGCAGGTGTTGCGTTTCTTGCCACGCAAGCCTGTGGGATTTTGTGAGACAGCCAATTTGCGTACGGTAGATGCCCTCGCAAGTGAACAAAACAACCATATGAAACCACAGCCCAGTAAAGTTGCATCCATTTTTTGCCGACTTCCCGGAGCTTGGCCCAAAAATGGGTTGGACCTGGTTGGTTTCCTGTCAGCTTCCCTCTCCAACCATCGATTTTGACACATCCGGGATGGAGTCCTCGAGCTTTTTGCCTCTCCCCAGCAAGCTGCGGAATCCGCTGGGGATGGTTTCGAGAGTGCCAACTCAAAGAGACCATCTATCTTGGTGTCCACCCTCAGATCCCCTGCTTGCCCAGACAAAACGGATGCGGCATATGCAACACTATATATATATATATGTGTTTGTTTGTTTGTTTGTTTGTTTGTTTGGTTGGTTGGTTGGTTGGTTGGTTTGTTTGTTTGTTTGTTGTGAGATTTTGTTTACGTGTCCCCTTTTTGGGGTTAGCTTATTTTAAAGCGAAGCCACACGCAGCCCCGACATGCACTTTTGGGGTCTGATAGTTGCCCACAGGTAAGTCTGTCAACGAGGAGTTTCAGAAGCTCTTGGACAAGACTTACCGGTCTGGTGCCCAGCAAAATTCGGATTCTTTTTTGGACCAGAACTCACCGTTTTTGTTTCCTTGTCGAGCGAGAAGGCACAATTCAGACATATCTTTTGGACCAGAACTCGCCAATCTTGTTTCCTTGTCGAGCCAGAAGCATGCTGCCGAAAATGGGTCGCGGGCCCCACCTTTTTGGAGAGTGTGGCTGAAGGGAGGCAGAGGCAAAATGGTGGCTTTACATCCCGATGTCCCTGTTGACCACTCTCCAAAACGCTTGGGTTCCCAACGTTATAACTACCCCTTTGGTTGCCGGATGCCAGGAAAGCCTACACCAAAGACCGCGCCAAGCACAATCCAACAAATCCCAAGGCGGTGCTTGGAAGCGCGTTAGTGAGGTTCGGTCCATTTGGGAAGGCCATGGGACGAGCTCTAAGTTTCGCACAAAGACCAGTGGACTCACTGATTTCTCCATGTGAGCAGCGCCCCAAACCCACATTGACCATCTTAGTAGGTTTAGGCTTGTACAAACCTTTTTAAACCATGTTGGTAGAATGGGTTTCGGGCGCTGCTCATGTCCTTTGCTCGACTCATGTTGACCGTTCGTGTTGCAAGCCGACAGGTCCCCAAAGGCTTTGAAGTGCTCGCTGTGAAGCGCAACGAAAACAAGCATTCCTGGCAGGACTCGCGTGTGTGTCCAGAAAGCTTGCCAAATGCTGCTTTTCTGCCCCTCCCCCGCGGTGGACTCGAACTGATCGGTTGATTTCGTAGACAGCGCAAAGACAGCAACAAGTCTCATCCTCGTAACTTCTGGAAGTTCTTGCTACCAACATATATATAATATATATATATATATATATTATATACATATTATATACATATTTACTTATTTATTTATTTTTTGGGAGGGGGAGAATCAACTGTGCCGGCTTGGGGCGTTGCCATTGTAGGAGTATGCCTTCCGTCGCGGCGATATCCTCTCCAGGGATAGTCTTCCGGACGCCTGGATGGCACAGTCAGCATGCGCTTGCGGAGCACTCCAGTCTTCGCGGCCCAGGAAATCTTTGCGGATGTCAAAACGAGCATGGCCATGGATGAGATTGGAGGGGACAAGGCAAGGAATGGCTGGGGAGAGCACATGAGCCATCAAAACCCGGGTAGATGAAGGTTAGAAAGGGACACTCCCAGCCAGAAACAGCTGCGGCCGCCTTTGTATTTCCTTACATGGTTCTGGGTCAGCCATTTTAATACCGGGTTTTGATTGTGACTCACATGAGCATCACACCCATCTTGGATTCGGAGAGCAGCCATGTGACTCTGAGTGGCATGAGAGTTTTGGAACCCTCAGTTCTTCCAAGGTTGATTTGCTGCCTAGAGAGCGGGCCGTTGCTATGTCTGCACAGGCAAATCGGCTGCACTCGGAGTGTGGCTTGGACAGCGTTCATTTCCGGAGGCCATTTGGAATGGGGTGACATGTGCCTTGGTCATTTAGAACTGGACCCGAGTAAAACAAATCCGACAACTCCCCTCAAAACAAACATGGACCCCGAACAGCCCGAATCCATTTGCAGGAACAGCTGGGGTTTCCCACCCTCGGGTTCCTCTGAAGAACCCTTGCCCCATGGTCAGACACGACCTCGGGCCCTTCGCCTTAGACTTCGCTCGATCCGCGAGGATCCAAGGTGCCGTGTCTGGGTTTCGAGCAGCGAGGTAACGAGTGGTACCTCTTCCACGGCACCAATCCGGAAGCCGCCGCCGCCATTTGCCAGGACCCCAGGGGCAAGAAGCCCAAAGGAGCGTAAAAACTGGTGGGGTTTCCCTGCGTTTGGCCTGGAAAACAACCCTGGCAAAAGGGGATGCGCGGTTTCAAACCCTGAAGAGCGCGATTTTCATGCAAAAGGGACTGTGAATCGTGAAGCCCTGAACAACGCGTTTTGGATTGCCACACCCTTGCGCAGGGCGTTCGTTTTGCCAAGGTGCCAGTGATTTCAAGGTGAGCCGAGCTGGCTCCAGCACGGGTACGCTCTATGGCAAAGGACCGGAAAGTTTGTCTCATGTGATCTGATGCACTCCTCCCCCCCATTTGCGCCTCCGAGTTTGCTCCGAGTTTAAGGCCTGAAGTCTGCAAGCTAAGGTCTGAGTTTTGAGATGGTTCTGGTAGCGGTCTTCCATTGGCCAATGTCGTTCTTGCATTGGCGCCAGTTTCAATGCCAGTGTAGCAGTCAGCGGTTTCCCTGAAAAACTAAAAGCGCTTCACACGCTTCAAACTTGGGGCCCATGTTTTTTTCCGGATCTCCTACGCCTTCCAGTGAATTTCGCACCAGGTCTTCGTCCCGGTGGAGAGGTCTCTCCATCGAAAGACCTGGGTCAAGCCCTTTTTGCATGCCCCTGAACCGGACACACCCACCAAGACGCGGGTTCTTTTTTCAAAAAAGCGGGCATGCATTTCCAGGGGCACACTATCATGTTGGCCACGGTGTATACCGTCCAGCGGGTACGCAGTCGAACAGGCAAACTTTCTTGCCATGCTGATGGAGCCAAAAGTCAGCTTCTCAAGTATTCATCCGATGGTATACCCTTGCTTTCCCAAGTCGACTGCGGTTCCCCCGCTTAATACATCTCGCCATATGGGCGACGGTCAAAAACCCATGTGTAAAAGTTTAGTAAGGAGCATATTCATGTGTTCTGGCGCTGCGCGCGCGAAAGGTCGCGAGTGGGCGCCGGAAGGTTTGGCGAAAGGGCTGGCCACAATGATGGTTCAGGATGCTGATTTAGCACTCTGAATGGTGCGAACATTTTTCCAATGCTGTAGAAATAGCTTTTGGACTGTTGTTTATGCCATATGTGCGCATGTTGGTATGCCGTTGTTGGGGGTTGCCCAAAAGCTATTTCGGCCAAGGCCAAATAACATTTGGGCCTGTTTTGGGGTTGGTCCACAAGATGCAAACCAGGGCACCCCCAAAACCTGTTTTTTGGCATTGGAAAATAACATTTGGGCAGGATAGTCTTTCCTTGAGAATGCAGACCAGGGCACCCCCAAAACCTGTTTTCGGCACTGGAAAATAACATTTGGGCAGGTTCTGGGTTGGTTTGCAGGCCAAGGGGGCGAAAGTGTCCAAATGAGTCTTTTCCTTGAGGGTACAGACTAGGGAGCCCCCAAAACTTGTTTTGGGCGCTGGAAAATATCATTTGTGCAGGTGTTGGCTTGTGAGTCTTTTCCTTAAGAAGGCACCAAAACCTGTTTTGGGCACTGGAAAATAACACTTGGGCAGGTTTTGGGTTGGTTTGCAGGCCAAGCAGCGGAAAGTTGTCCAAATCAGTCTTTTCGTTTTCCTTGAGGGTACAGACTAGGGAGTCCTCAAACCCTGTTTTGGCCACTGGAAAATAACATTTGTTCTGGGTTGGTTTGCAGCTGTTCAAATGAGTCTTTTCCTTGAGGGTACAGACTAGGGAGCCCCCAAAATTCCGGATTGGTTTGCAGGGCAAGGGGCGGAAAGTGTCCAAACCTTGAGAATACAGACCAGAATAACATTTGGGCAGGTGTTGGCTTGCAGGCCAAAGGGCCGAGCGTGTCCAAATGAGTCTTTTCCTTGAGAAGGCGCCAAAACCTGCTTTGGGCACTGGAAAATAACATTTGGGCAGGTTTTGGGTTGGTTTGCAGGCCAAACAGCGGAAAGTTGAATCAGTCTACAGACTAGGGAGTCCCCAAACCCTGTTTTGTTTTGGGCACTGGAAAATAACATTTGGGCAGGTTCTGGGTTGGTTTGCAGCAGGGCAGGGGCGGAAAGTGCTCAAATGAGTCTTTTCCTTGAGGGTGCCCCCAAAACTTGTTTTGGCGCTGGAAAATAGCATTTGGGCAGGTTCCGGGTTCGTTTGCAGGCCAAGGTGTCCAAATTAGACCAGGGCCACCCCAAAACCTGTTTTGGGCGAAAATAATATTTGGGCAGGTTGGGTTGGTTTGCAGGCCAAGGGGCCGAAAGTGTCTGTCCGTGAGAATACAACCTGTTTTGGGCTGGAAAATAACATTTGGGCAGGTTCCGGGTTGGTTTGCAGGCCAAGGGGCGGAAAGTGTCCAAACGAGTCTTTTCCGACCAGGCAACTTCAAAAGCCTGTTTTGGGCACTGGAAAGAAGCATTTGCGCAGGTGTTGGGTTGGTTTGCAGGAGCCAAAAGTGTCCAAACGTGTTCAAATGAGTCTTTCCTTGAGAATACACAGACTAGCGCCCCAAAACCTGTTTTAGGCTTGGAAAATAACATTCGGGCTGGGTTGTTGGTTCCCAAAGCAGGCTTTTGACGCATGGCTTTAGTGGTGTTGTCGACGGAGGGTTGTCGACCATGTGCGCCCCACTGTGGGCGCGAAAGAAAGCGTAAGTTTCGCGAAAGGGCGCCGGAAGGCCAAAAAAAAGACAAGCTAATTTCGACCCGCCCATATGTGCCATGGTCAAAGACTCCTTTGGCCGCAACATTTGAGGCCACAGAAAATTGTAGTCCGAATATGTTCCTTAATCGTATTGCATTTGTCAAAGATGTTCAACTATCAAACATTACAATCCCCAACTTGTCTGTCAAGTATTCGGCCTGCAAATGTTTGCGTCCGCCGCAAATTGTAGTCCACACATTTTCCACAAATAACAAGTTGCAGCCTCCAATTTGTCATATGCATTGGGCAGGACTCTATTTCGCGGAGTCAGTCACCAAGGCTCCAGTGGCAACCTATAGCTTTGCGGCAAGAGGGTCATTGCCACATGTCCTAAGAGCAAGCCTTAGGAGGCGCAACGGAGTCGGAGCATACAGACAAGTATGGCTCGAGATGCAATTTGCTCGTGCACGTTTTTCTTGGCGCTTTTCTGGCTTTGTGCTGATTTCTACTGCAAGCTTTACCACTTTCTCCTGAGGGAAGCTCCATGCCTTGCCCTACATGCTCAAGAATTGCGACAGAGAGATTCGCCGCAGAATTCCCTTTGTGGCTTTGACTGATGATTCGCCAACAGAGACCACTAGGGGTGGAGGCTGAACATGCACAGGCAACCGATTCAAGACCATTGGGTCCAGCCTGAGAACTCCCAGCCTCCGTTTTGATCAAGGGGCCCTTCAGTTTTGTGTTCACTCCCAGCCTTCGGCCGCACCGGATCGGATGAAAGGCTGATGAGTACGCGAAGCCCAATGCCGAAGGCCGCTACGCCGCCTGAGCCTCGATCGATCGACCGATCCTTCCTTAATGCCGAGCCCAAGGGTGACACGCAGACACCTGTCACGCAGACACGTGTCACGCAGACGCGTGTAGAGGCTTTTGCCACTGCATGTCACTATGTCGCTGACACGCTGTCACCTGCGACTCATGACCTTGGGCATCCCGCAGAAAAAAACAAAAACAAAAAACAACGACAGTCGTTTTGCCAGCTACGATCTTCTTCGGAAAATTCTGACGACCGTCCACTAGGCTATTTCTGACGCTATTGCCACGCTTGAGAGGGGATTTGTTTCAGCAGTTCACCCGTAGCCAATGTGATTTCAATTGTGTTTGCGTGCTTTGTGAGAATACCCCTTTCAGATTGGCTTAAAGGGAAGCCAAAAGAAAGCCATCATTTCGGGGGGTTTAGAAACCGTGGGCAAGCCATACCCATGTGCTGCCTCTCTCTCTGTCTCGAGGTTCTCTTGTGCCGAGTCATCGGCGGTAAAGTGAAGTACACGGACGAAGTTACACCTGACCCTGAAGCAGGGCGCTGAGATAGACGATCTGACCGCTCAGAAGGTTCAGCCAGTTTTTCGGGCCAGATATTTTTTTTTGAAAAAGAACGGAGACCAATGATCCCATGGTTGTCACTGGCCCCCCCAAAGAGGGGAGGGACCCCAAAAAAGCACGAACTCCATTGGCCTTGTTAGTCGCCATTGCCCCTATTGGGATTGGGGGGTCCTTGACAACCATAGACAATGACGCGATGGGCAACTCTTTTAGACATGTCAAGCCTGCAGCTGAGTCTTGCCAAGGCGCTGGTGCATGCTTGCATTGAGGGGCCTTTTGACTCCGTCTGTGGCGACCGTGAGAAGACTCGTGGCACATACAGGCACGGTTGAGTCGAAAAAGCGTTTTCTGCCCCCTTTTTTCGCGCCTCGAACAATCGCCCCTCAGGGAATTCGTGCTGTTCGACTCTGAAGATGTCTATGTGGAGTATGTCCGGTCCTTATTCGCGCATTCTGTGCTCACCAGGTTCGACGGTGTCACATTTCTATTGCCCGCGCAGAATGCGCACAGGTGACTAGAGTTAGAGGCTTGTGCTGCGCGTTTTGCCGTTGAGAGAGGGCGACAGTTGTCGCGAAACACGGAACATGTCTGCCCAAGCCATAGGAGGATCGACAGGTCTGTCCCGACCGCCTCAGTCTCAGCCTCCCAGTTCCCTTCGGCGCTAAGCTCTCATGGCTTTGAAGGCGCTGGCAGTGCTGTGTGCCGTGCAAGCTAGCCTCGTGTCTGCTGGGCCGTTGAACAACCTGCTGGCGGACCTCACTGGCCAGCACCATGATGGCAGCTCCACTTGCCTTGCAGATGGTCACACGCATGCGTGCAGCCACGCATCCAGCTTCACGGGCTTCTTCCCTGATGCGGCTGCTCCTGCTCACTCCGACCACTTCTTCCCAAGCATTTCCACGGAGACGGTGTCAGGATCTGCCGATGCCCACCAAGGTGACGCGGCTCACTTGGACCAGTTCGACAGCTCGCTTCTTGCGAACCGCCGCCCCAAGATGTTCGTGAGCTTCGAGAAAAAGGAGGGCACGGAATGAGGAACAGAGTGAGTCGAGTGAGAGCGATAGAAAGGCGTCCAAAGCTGGACCGGAAATGCCTCGTTCCTGAAGTTGCAATGCGAACCCTGGATTGATGCAACCATCCTGCTAATAGGGGGGCCGTCACCCAGAAAGGTCAAGGATTCCCACTCAAAGAGGACATCCTATTAATCAACCAGAGGTTTATTAGTCCAGGATGAACATTGCTGTATACACTAGGGACATGTATCTTGGCCTCTCGGAAGCGTCAATTGCGAAGCGGGCAAGGCAGTTGCGGGAGACGCAGGGTTTGGCCTAAGCCGGCATGTCACCCGACAGATACGCATCTCTCAGCTCAGACCGTGACTGGTGACGCCCAGATCTGCAAGAGCCCTGCCGGAGGCCGATGCCGGCCAAGGGCTGTGGTCAAAACCGTTCAAGGGGATCCCAGTTTGGGTGGGTGAATTCACCACCCAGTTGAGGTTTCCTATTTTAGTGGTTGGGTTGGCTGATGTTCACTGGGGGCTAACCGATTTGGATTTTGACCCATGGCCAAATATCGATCCCGTCATCTCAATCTCGCGCTCGGAAGGACAAAGGGGCAGAGGGAAGGCCTCTGGGCCGGGCTTCTGTGTTTCAATCGCCCTGACATCCAGAGATCCAGACGTCCAGAGATCCAGAGATCCCCAGAGATCCCCAGAGATCCAGAGATCCTTTTTTTCAGCAAAAGGGGGGACAGGGGAAAGCAAGGCCAGCCGGCCATTCGCAGCTCTTTTCCAAGGACGAAGTATCTGGCAGCTTTTGTGGACACCACGAGTTGTTTGAGGCATTACATGAACAACTGACAACAGTTACTAGTAGTCTATTGGGGGAGGACATGAGGCGAAGGTTTGCACAGCTGATCCCTTCGTGCCAAGTTACTTGTCCATATGTATTGGCGTGCAGGGTTGTACAGGGGGCATCCCTGGTACATGCGTCAGGCCAGGTAGGATGTGTTCAGTTCGAGTGTGTAGGATCAATGGCTTCAGAGTCTCCAAGACAGCTGTTTGCAGCTCTGCGGCTTCCAGACATAGAAGTCTGATTCTTTGCCATGGCTTTTAGTCTTGGTGTACGCCCCCTCAGGCTTTGACGACTCGGGTGCCCTCAAATGGATTTTACGGGCAAGTTTATGCAAGTAAGAGTGTAGGCTTCTGAGGCAGTTTGGTAGGCTGGGGCGAAGGCACGACGGGTGTGCTTTTAAGATTTGTTGTCGTAGGCGATCCCAGAAATTATTCAACAGGCACAACTTTTTTCAGCGCAGTAGTCCAAGCTCACGTTATAGCTTGGTATATGCGACGAAGTGATCTAACTTGTTTTGGGCAGATGATCCGCCTCCCACGCTGATAATGACATGTTTGTTTCAGCGCAAGCACATCGTACTTGTCCTGTGTGCAGAAACCACCAACTGTCACAGTCACAACCGCACGATGTGTCGTTTGCCGCATTTTGTTATTGTTCACCCCGGCAGTCGGTGAATCTTAAAATGGCTCAAACGGACGAAGGTGAATGTTCCGTCGCAAACAAAGCTTGCTCAAATCCTTTTTCAGGGAACCTGGCCAGTTATCAAAACGTCGACCGTGAGTCGTCCAGCTAAAATACTGGCATGAGATGAGCATGGCTTTTCCAAGAAACTGGAGCAGTAGGTCATGTTTGCATTTGTTTTTGCTGTACATGCATATCACACAAAGCACATGGGATGCGAGGGCAAAGTTGTGCTAACACGCTTGTATTCGGCTCCCATCCTTTATCTCTTGCTCTCTTACTCTGACTCTCTCAAACTGACTCCTCACTCTCTCTCAGTCTCAGTCTCCATCGCCTCCCCTTCCCCTCCCCTCCCCTCCCCTCCCCTCCCTCTCCTCCCCTGCCCGAGGAGAGGAAGATAGTTGTCGCGGAACACGGAACATGTTCGCCCAAGCCGGACAGGATCAGGTCTGTCCTGACCGCCTCCCAGTTCCTTTCGACACTAAGCTCTCATGGCTTTGAAGGCGCTGCCAGTTGCTGGCGGACCTCACTGGCCAGCACCATGATGGCAGCTCCACTTGCCTTGCAGATGGTCACACGCATGCGTGCAGCCACGCATCCAGCTTCACGGGCTTCTTCCCTGATGCGGCTGCTCCTGCTCACTCTGATCACTTCTTCCCGAGCATCTCCACAGAGATGGTTGAGGGACACCAAGGTGACGTGGCTCACTTGGACCAGTTCGACAGCTCGCTTCTGGCGAACCGCCGCCCCAAGATGTTCGTGAGCTTTGATAAATTTGAGAAAGAGGGATCGAACAAGGAGGGCACAGAAGGCACCAAGTGAGTGGAATGAGAGCGTGGTAGAAAGGCGCCCAAAGCTGGCCAAATATCTTGGAGGTCTCTAGGGATCGTCCATTGCTGAGCAGCGGGGCAAGGCATCAGCGGGGCATCTCTCAGTCTAACCCCGTGACTTTGCAACTGAGAAGATGTGCAGCCGACTCAGAGGCCTCCTCGAGGCCAAATCTCAATCCCGTCATCTCCATCTCGCGCAGTGAAAGGCTGCACGCGCTGCGTGCGGGGGGGGCTGTGTGGGAGGTCCGGACTCTTTTTTTTTGAGGGGGGAAAGGGGACATCAAGGAGACCAGGCATTCGCAGTGCCCAAAAACCGGAAGCAGCACGCCGTGGGGCGTCTTTTTTTTTGGAGAGTTGGTTTTCATGGGGGAGCATGGTGGAAAGTCACATTCGATCGCCCAAGGTCATCGAATACAAGAGAAAGTACTAGTGATGGGCCTGTCGATCGTGCCTCAGCTCCAAAGGAGCCGAGTGTGAGTTTCAGAGACATTGACCGAGACCCATCGGGTTGGAGTCCCAAGAGGAGCAGACTTGTTACGCGTAGGCGTCGTGTATGGTGCCACAAATTCGTGTACCTTTGCTCCTGTAAACTACGCTGCAGACACACGGGGGTTGGGCAAATGGCATTTGAACGCACCATCCGTCGGTTTTTTTCGGGAAACCAACATGCTGTAGCAATGGCTTAAACAAAAGGTTCAAACAACCAGCCTTGAGTCTCCATCTCGAGGAACCACAAAGAGGAGGTTTCAGCCATGGTGCAAACAAGGAGTTGGCCAACCCTGGCGGACGATTCCACCAAGTGGAAACAACAAATCCAGTCCCTTGCCCAAAGTGGCCAGTCTGCAGGCAGGGGGAGGAAAAGGAGAGCGCTTTTGAAGTTCATTGGGTCTGTGCTTTTTGAGGGTGACCTCTTCAGCTTGGTTGAAAGGACACCAAAACGAAAGGCGACATTTTTTTGGTCTCCCTATGATGACACATGCCCAAATAAGCTCAAGGGGGTCCCGCTGTTTTGACATACAGCCATATAGATCCCGAACCACAAACTCTCATCCCCAAATCTGAAACCTGTCGCCTTTTGGCTAAAGCAGCAGAGACTGTACGGAGTTTGCAAACCTTGGTCGCTCTGCCTGCTCCGAACATGATGGGTGTCAAGGTACTTGCCATCTTCGCATCAGTGTGCAGCCTTGTGTCTGCTGGGCCGTTGAACAACCTGCTGGCGGACCTCACTGGTCAGCACCATGATGGCAGCTCTACTTGCCTTGCAGATGGCCACACGCATGCGTGCAGCCACGCATCCAGCTTCACGGGCTTCTTCCCTGATGCTGCAGCTCCTGCTCACTCCGACCACTTCTTCCCAAGCATCTCCACGGAGACGGTGTCAGGATCTGCCGATGCCCACCAAGGTGACGTGGCTCACTTGGACCAGTTCGACAGCTCTCTTCTGGCAAACCGCCGCCCCAAGATGTTCGTGAGCTTTGACAAGAAGTGAGGGAGCCATATGTGATCCAGCGAGTGTGCATGCGTGACAGACTGGTAGTGCTGAATCATCAGGGAATGCACCACAGAGGTGGTTGCTGTTTGTTTGAAAGTGCATGCGCTGGACTGAAATGAGCTGCAAGCCATCCTTCCGAGTCACGTCATGCTTGGCATGCGTATTCCTGTGTTTAAGAAAGTGGCACGAATCAATTTCCTGCGAGATGTTAGTTGTTTTAGAGGATGGCTGGTGCAGCGGAGAGCTGCAATGCGTATATCACGGATGCATGGAGATGGCGACGAAACCGTTGCAGAGTTTCATTTTGGACGCTGCTCAGGTTTGACTGGAATGGATTTCTTCTACTTTGGCAGCTTAGCTGAGGACTACGGTGGCAGGTGATATTAGATAGGTTTTGCGCCAGGAGCATCAAGCGTGGAAGCATGCTTGCAGGATTTGTTCTCTGTGCATGATTTGTGGTTGGCCCCAGCATTGCATTTGGCAGTTGTGGGTTTCCTCTCGCCAGTTCCAGAAGCAATGGCTTTCGCACTCCGAGCTTTGATCGCAGTGCTGTCAGCGCAGGCTTGCAGCCTTGTGTCTGCTGGGCCGTTGAACAACCTGCTGGCGGACCTCACTGGCCAGCACCATGATGGCAGCTCCACTTGCCTTGCAGATGGTCACACGCATGCGTGCAGCCACGCATCCAGCTTCACGGGCTTCTTCCCTGATGCGGCTGCTCCTGCTCACTCCGACCACTTCTTCCCAAGCATCTCCACGGAGACGGTGTCAGGATCTGCCGATGCCCACCAAGGTGACGTGGCTCACTTGGACCAGTTCGACAGCTCTCTTCTGGCGAACCGCCGCCCCAAGATGTTCGTGAGCTTTGACAAGAAGTGAGGGAGCCATATGTGATCCAGCGAGTGTGCATGCATGACAGACAGGTAGTGCTGAGTGATGAGGGAATACCCCACAGGCGGCAGTTCAATGACGAGGTGTTTGTTTGAAAGTGCATGAGCTGAGCTGGACGGAAATTAGCTGCAGGCCATCCTTCCGAGTCACGTGTGGCATGTTTGGCATACTCGCGTGTTGGCGCACGTGGCACGAACCCAATTTCTTGCGAGAGGTTAGTTGCTTTGGAGGATGGCTGGTGCAGCGGAGAGCTGCAATGCGCCTACAACGGATCTGGAAATGAGCTACTTGAAGCATCGAGATGGCGAAATAAAGCACAGCAGTGTGGCACGTTGAAGGCTGCATGTCGTATGACTGGAGTTTATTGCTTGCTAAGAACTATAGAAGCATGGAAACATGCTTGCAGGATTTGTTCTCTGTGCATGATTTGTGGTTGGCCCCAGCATTGCATTTGGCAGTTGTGGGTTTCCTCTCGCCAGTTCCAGAAGCAATGGCTTTCGCACGCCGAGCTTTGATCGCGGTGCTGTCAGCGCAGGCTTGCAGCCTTGTGTCTGCTGGGCCGTTGAACAACCTGCTGGCGGACCTCACTGGCCAGCACCATGATGGCAGCTCTACTTGCCTTGCAGATGGCCACACGCATGCGTGCAGCCACGCATCCAGCTTCACGGGCTTCTTCCCTGATGCTGCAGCTCCTGCTCACTCCGACCACTTCTTTCCAAGCATCTCCACGGAGACGGTGTCAGGATCTGCCGATGCCCACCAAGGTGACGTGGCTCACTTGGACCAGTTCGACAGCTCTCTTCTGGCGAACCGCCGCCCCAAGATGTTCGTGAGCTTTGACAAGAAGTGAGGGAGCCATATGTGATCCAGCGAGCGTGCATGCGTGACAGACTGGTAGTGCTGAATCATCAGGGAATGCCCCACAGGCGGCAGTTCAATGACGAGGTGGTTGCTGTTTGTTGTTTGAAAGCGCATGCGCTGGACTGAAATTAGCTGCAAGCCATCCTTCCGATGTTTGGCATAATCCTGTGCTTAAGGAAGTGGCACGAACCCAATTTCTTGCGAGAGGTTAGTTGTTTTGGAGGATGGCTGGCGCAGCGGAGAGCTGCAATGCGCATAGCATGGATCCGCAAATGGGCTGCTTGAAGCATCGAGATGGCGAGAAAACCACAGCAGTGCAGCATTTTGCGGAGTTGATTGCTTGCTAAGTTGGCTGCTTAGCTGAGGACTATGAAGGCAGGCGATATTAGCAAGGTTTTGTCAAGAAGCATAAATGCATGGAAGCATGCTTGCACGATTTGTTCTCCGTGCATGATTTGTGGTTGGCCGCAGCATTGCATTTGGCAGTTGTGGGTTTCCTCTCGCCGGTTCCAGAAGCAATGGCTTTCGCACGCCGAGCTTTGATCGCGGTGCTTGCAGCGCAGGCTTGCAGCCTTGTGTCTGCTGGGCCGTTGAACAACCTTCTGGCGGACCTCACTGGCCAGCACCATGATGGCAGCTCCACTTGCCTTGCAGATGGTCACACGCATGCGTGCAGCCATGCATCCAGCTTCACGGGCTTCTTCCCTGATGCGGCTGCTCCTGCTCACTCCGACCACTTCTTCCCAAGCATCTCCACGGAGACGGTGTCAGGATCTGCCGATGCCCACCAAGGTGACGTGGCTCACTTGGACCAGTTCGACAGCTCTCTTCTGGCGAACCGCCGCCCCAAGATGTTCGTGAGCTTTGACAAGAAGTGAGGGAGCCATATGTGATCCAGCGAGTGTGCATGCATGACAGACAGGTAGTGCTGAGTGATGAGGGAATTCCCCACAGGCGGCAGTTCAATGACGAGGTGTTTGTTTGAAAGTGCATGAGCTGAGCTGGACTGAAATTAGCTGCAGGCCATCCTTCCGAGTCACGTGTGGCATGCTTGGCATACTCGCGTGTTGGCGCACGTGGCACGAACCCAATTTCTTGCGAGAGGTTAGTTGCTTTGGAGGATGGCTGGTGCAGCGGAGAGCTGCAATGCGCCTACAACGGATCTGGAAATGAGCTACTTGAAGCATCGAGATGGCGAGAAAAGCACAGCAGTGTGGCACGTTGAAGGCTGCATGCCGTATGACTGGAGTTTATTGCTTGCTAAGAAATATAGCAGCATGTAAGCATGCTTGCAGGATTTGTTCTCTGTGCATGATTTGTGGTTGGCCCCAGCATTGCATTTGGCAGTTGTGGGTTTCCTCTCGCCAGTTCCAGAAGCAATGGCTTTCGCACTCCGAGCTTTGATCGCAGTGCTGTCAGCGCAGGCTTGCAGCCTTGTGTCTGCTGGGCCGTTGAACAACCTGCTGGCGGACCTCACTGGCCAGCACCATGATGGCAGCTCCACTTGCCTTGCAGATGGTCACACGCATGCGTGCAGCCACGCATCCAGCTTCACGGGCTTCTTCCCTGATGCGGCTGCTCCTGCTCACTCCGACCACTTCTTCCCAAGCATCTCCGCGGAGACGGTGTCAGGATCTGCCGATGCCCACCAAGGTGACGTGGCTCACTTGGACCAGTTCGACAGCTCTCTTCTGGCGAACCGCCGCCCCAAGATGTTCGTGAGCTTTGACAAGAAGTGAGCGAGCCATATTGTGATCCAGCGAGTGTGCATGCATGACAGACTGGTGGTGCTGAGTCATGAGGGAATACCCCACAGGCGGCAGTTCAATGACGAGGTGGTTGCTGTTTGTTTGAAAGCGCATGAGCTGGACTGAAATTAGCTGCAAGCCATCCTTCCGAGTCACGTGTGGCATGTTTGGCATACTCGCGTGTTGTCGCACGTGGCACGAACCCAATTTCTTGCGAGAGGTTAGTTGTTTTGGAGGATGGCTGGTGCAGCGGAGATCTGCAATGCGCCTACAACGGATCTGGAAATGAGCTACTTGAAGCATCGAGATGGCGAGAAAAGCACAGCAGTGTGGCGCGTTGAAGGCTGCATGTCGTATGACTGGAGTTGATTGTTTGCTAAGATTTATAGAAGCATGGACGCATGCTTGCAGGATTTGTTCTCTGTGCATGATTTGTGGTTCCAGCATTGCATTTGGCAGTTGTGGGTTTCCTCTCACCAGTTCCAGAAGCAATGGCTTTCGCACGCCGAGCTTTGATCGCGGTGCTTGCAGCGCAGGCTTGCAGCCTTGTGTCTGCTGGGCCGTTGAACAACCTGCTGGCGGACCTCACTGGCCAGCACCATGATGGCAGCTCTACTTGCCTTGCAGATGGTCACACGCATGCGTGCAGCCACGCATCCAGCTTCACGGGCTTCTTCCCTGATGCGGCTGCTCCTGCTCACTCCGACCACTTCTTCCCAAGCATCTCCGCGGAGACGGTGTCAGGATCTGCCGATGCCCACCAAGGTGACGTGGCTCACTTGGACCAGTTCGACAGCTCTCTTCTGGCGAACCGCCGCCCCAAGATGTTCGTGAGCTTTGACAAGAAGTGAGCGAACCATATGTGATCCAGCGAGTGTGTATGCATGACAGACTGATGGGGGTGAGCCAATGACAAGGCGGTTGCTGGTTGCTTGAAAGCACAGTCGCTGGACTGAAATTAGCTGCAAGCCATCCTTCTCAGTCACGTGTGGCATGTTTGGCACATTCGCGTGTTGGCGCACGTAGCAGGAACTCAGTTTCTTGCGAGAGGTTAGTTGTTTTGGAGGATGGCTGGCGCAGCGGAGAGCTGCAATACGTATACCGTGGATCCGCAAATGGGCTGCTTGAAGCATCGAGATGGAGAGAAAACGACAGCAGTGCGGCAATCTGGCGGCTGCGCAGGTGGTACGACTATGTTTGTTTGCTTTGGCTGCTTCGCCAAGGCCGGCAAAGTACGTGACATCAAATGCTTGGTTTTGCCAGAATCACGGACGCACGGGAGCATGCTGGCATGATGGCTTGACTGAGTGACTTGTGCGCGATTTGTGGTTGGCCCCAGCATTGCAATTGGCAGCTGTGGGTTTCCTCGCACCAGTCTAGAAGCCATGGCATTTGCACGCCGAGCTTTGATCGCAGTGCTGTCAGCGCAGGCTTGCAGCCTCGTGTCTGCTGGGCCGTTGAACAACTTGCTGGCGGACCTCACTGGCCAGCACCATGATGGCAGCTCCACTTGCCTTGCAGATGGTCACACGCATGCGTGCAGCCATGCATCCAGCTTCACGGGCTTCTTCCCTGATGCGGCTGCTCCTGCTCACTCCGACCACTTCTTCCCAAGCATCTCCACGGGGACGGTGTCAGGATCTGCCGATGCCCACCAAGGTGACGTGGCTCACTTGGACCAGTTCGACAGCTCTCTTCTGGCGAACCGCCGCCCCAAGATGTTCGTGAGCTTTGACAAGAAGTGAGTGTTTCACATATGATCCAGCGAGTGTGAATGCATGTCTTAAGAGGAAATTCTCTACAGGAGGCAGTTCAACGGCGAGGTGGTTGCTGTTTGTTTGAAAGCGCATGCGCTGGACTGAAATTAGCTGCAAGCCATCCTTCCGAGTCATGTGTGGCATGTTTGGCATATTTGGGTGTTTGAGCACGTGGCACAAACCCAATTTCTCCCGAGAGGCTAGTTGTTTTGGGGGATGGCTGGTGCAGCGCAGAGCTGCAATGCGTATACAACAGATCCGGAAACGCGCTCCTTCAAGCACGGAGATGGCGGGGAAACCACTGCGGAGTAGCTAAGTTGTCAGCTTAGCCATGCCTGCAATGGCACATCAACTGAGCTGTGTGCCAGAACCACGGGAGCATGCTGGCACGATGCTGTGACTAAGATGACTAAGTAATTAGTGCGTGATTTGTGGTTGGCCCCAGCATTGCAATTGGTAGCTGTGGGTTTCCTCGCACCAGTCTAGAAGCCATGGCATTTGCACGCCGAGCTTTGATCGCAGTGCTGTCAGCGCAGGCTTGCAGCCTCGTGTCTGCTGGGCCGTTGAACAACTTGCTGGCGGACCTCACTGGCCAGCACCATGATGGCAGCTCCACTTGCCTTGCAGATGGTCACACGCATGCGTGCAGCCACGCATCCAGCTTCACGGGCTTCTTCCCTGATGCGGCTGCTCCTGCTCACTCCGACCACTTCTTCCCAAGCATCTCCACGGAGACGGTGTCAGGATCTGCCGATGCCCACCAAGGTGACGTGGCTCACTTGGACCAGTTTGACAGCTCTCTTCTGGCGAACCGTCGCCCCAAGATGTTCGTGAGCTTTGACAAGAAGTGAGCATTTCACATATGATCCAGCGAGTGTGAATGCATGTCTTAAGAGGAAATTCTCTACAGGAGGCAGTTCAATGGCGAGGTGGTTGCTGTTTGTTTGAAAGCGCATGCGCTGGACTGAAATTAGCTGCAAGCCATCCTTCCGAGTCATGTGTGGCATGTTTGGCATGTTCGCGTGTTTGAGCACGTGGCGCAAACCCAATTTCTCCCGAGCGGCTAGTTGTTTTGGAGGATGGCTGGTGCAGCGCAGAGCTGCAATGCGTATACAACAGATCCGGAAACGCGCTCCTTCAAGCACGGAGATGGCGGGGAAACCACTGCAGAGTTGCATTTTGGACGCGTTCAGGCAGTGGTTTGGCTGACGTGATTCTTAGCTGAGTTGTCAGCTTAGCCATGCCCACAATGGCACATCAACTGAGTTGTGCGCCAGAACCACGGGAGCATGCTGGCACGATGCTTTGACTAAGTAATTAGTGCGTGATTTGTGGTTGGCCCCAGCATTGCAATTGGTAGCTGTGGGTTTCCTCGCACCAGTCCAGAAGCCATGGCATTTGCACGCCGAGCTTTGATCGCAGTGCTGTCAGCGCAGGCTTGCAGCCTTGTGTCTGCTGGGCCGTTGAACAACCTGCTGGCGGACCTCACTGGCCAGCACCATGATGGCAGCTCCACTTGCCTTGCAGATGGTCACACGCATGCGTGCAGCCATGCATCCAGCTTCACGGGCTTCTTCCCTGATGCGGCTGCTCCTGCTCACTCCGACCACTTCTTCCCAAGCATCTCCACGGAGACGGTGTCAGGATCTGCCGATGCCCACCAAGGTGACGTGGCTCACTTGGACCAGTTCGACAGCTCTCTTCTGGCGAACCGCCGCCCCAAGATGTTCGTGAGCTTTGACAAGAAGTGAGGTCAAGCCCGCAGTAGAATTGCACTGGCAGTTTCAGAACTGATTGCAGGTATCGGAGCATATTCCAGTGGTGAAGGGAAAAGAACTTCGACTCAGTGCGAATTGCTGTCGAGAGAAGAGGAATGTTGTTCATGGCAGCGCAGATTTCAACATGTGCACTTTGCCTGGCACGTTCCTAACATCCCGAAGTGCTTACATGCCTCAACTCGTCGCGCCTAGTTTGGGACCCATTATTGTGAGAGACTTGCGCAAGAGATTTCCGGGAGGTGGTGGCCGGAGGCTCAAGGCCCTGCGAAGGTTACCCATGAGGCGTTGGTGAACAAAAATTCTGTGAGATCTTCCATGAGCCTTTATAGCGACTTGGAACCGCTGCTGAAAAGTTGAAACCACTTCTGAATCCCAATGGATTTTTTGAGGTCCACCAAGGGCTCCTAGTTCAAACTCATGGCCAATGGAAGAGAGAGATCTTCTTGCTGCAAGCCAGACATGGAAATAGCTAAGATGTTGCCCCCCCCGAAATCAAAATCATTGGAACATGACATGGCTGTCGTTGTCGAAAATAGGGTAACTTCAAAATGGAACCTTAGTAAATGGAAACATGGACTAAAACTTGCGGTCCCCTAGTGGTTTAATTTTGACCCACACTCACATTATCCTCAAAAGCGATTCGCCCAGACACTGGGACTCTCCAACATGGCAACAGCGAAATACAACGACCGCAGACCTCGCAGAGTGCGAGTGTTTTTTGGGTAATTCTTTTTGGGAGTCTTAAAAAGGGGAACAAAACGGAACGCTATTGTTTTGAGGGTACCCGAATTTTTGCACATACCCAAATATACGTTGGTTTCAGCCTCCACATTTCGCCATGAAGCGTTGAGTGTCGCGGCATGCTCTTGCTCGACATGACACATGTCAAGGCTGGGCCTTGTGTCCGGGTCAGACAATTTGTGTACTGCAGGGCCATGTGCTGCACCAATGGTCACCCTTTTGCCCAGTCCATTTTGTGATTGCCCCATGATACATCCTGTGGCTGATTTCCAGAAAGGGGGACCCCTTCTTTTAAGTGTACCTTGGAGGAATGAACAGACGGACCCTGTGCCAAAGCCCTTCTCTCAGCTTTCGCGAGCGTTTGAAAGTCGCTAGTTGGCCGCTAAAAATGCTCGGTTTTGGGCCCTGTGCTGGGACGCGTGTCGTGCAAAGTTTCCGTGGAAAAGACTTTTTGTGCTACCCCATGCAGAATGACTTGAACTCAATTGGCTTTGATTTCAAGTTGCGAACCCCTCAAAAGTATCGGCGGACACAACCCCCCCTCATGTAAATGATGTGTACTAAAGAATCCGCAGCACATCACACTCCATCTCAAGATGAACGCCTTGCCGTGGATGGACAAAATCAATTTCGCACCACCGTTCAGACCCCGGGAATGATTCGATTCTCCACCAAATACCTACAAGCCTTATGGCTTTACCCATGGTTTCATTTCGTGGTGCGAGGGGATGTTGTAGCCATCCGCAGTATTTCTCAAAATTGGGGACCGCTTGCTGCAGCTGTTTTTTTTTTTTCTTTCTTTTTCTGCTTCTGCTACTGTGGTTTCTTTTGAGTCCACCAAAATGGGTTGCTACCCCGGTGCTACTGTGGTTTTCTTTTTGGTTCTGCTTCCCGGGGAAAGCTGCGAAGCGGCACGCCAGGCGCCGGGCTTGCGCTTGTGGATACCGATGGCTTCTGCCGGGCGCTCGAGTTCAGCTCGAGTTGACTTTTGGAGTCCGGAGGGATGCCATTTGGCGCTCGAGTCCAGTGGTTGACGTTTGGATTCCGGGGAAAAAACATAAATACATATTAAAACATATTAATAATACATATAAAAAAAGAACAACACACAAACAGTTGGGTTCCGAGCCGTTTCTTTTGGGATCTTGAAGGCTGTGGTTGTCAAAAATAGGGGTCACCCCAAAATGGGTTGCCCTGGCAAAGGGAACAGTTGGACTAAAACCTGCGGTTCCCGGGTGGCTTAATTTTGACCCATACCCAGTGGCCATCGTTTCAGTGGACACCATTTTCGGGGGGGAATGAAAAAATCCCCTGGGATGAGATGAAAAAGGCCAAATCATTTGCAGGGGCGACATTTGGGTCAGTCACTCAAGTCAACATCTGACGAGTGTGGGTTCACCACTGTAAATCACCTGGAGGTGGGGGCTGTTTTCCAAATTGCGATTTTAACTAGGGCCCCTTTGGTGGGCATGAGTTTTATGGGGATTTATGTCCACCAACAGCTTTGCAGAGGTCTCCGATTAACATCCATAGCCATGTGAGCCACGGACAAGCTGGTTCTCAGCGCATGGTCCTTTACATGGGATGACCATTGGTTGGGAATTCAACCACTATGGTAAAAGTGACCCATGGTCAGAACTGGCCGAAGGGAAAGTTGATCAAGCCCCCATGTCTGTTCTAAAGGGAAACCAAGGGCAAACCGCCATCTTCCTTGCTTGTTTTTGGGGGGTCTTCCCCTAAAAAAGAAGACCCATATGTCAAGTGGCGCCTGAGTATTTGTTTTCCGGTGGCCGAGCAGTTCGCTCGGCAAGTCCAAGGCTTTGCCTCCTCATCTGCATTGTCTCCACCCTCTTGCTTATGCAAGCACCCCAGAGCACGCACGCCGCACTGGTGCGGTTGCAGACGCTTTTTCCCCCCTTTCGGCTGCTTCGTGCAGCAGATCCGCATTGGTCCTTCGGACTGTGATCTAAGGATCGCTCAAAGAGGTTAGACTGTAAGAGTTGACAAAGGTATTCTTCTTCTTCTTTTGTAATAACAAATAGAACCCTTTGGTGGACATCATTTAGGTGGGGATTTATACCCACTAGAGGCTGTTCTAACTCGCGAAAGTCACTGGCACATTTGACGTGCACCTGGAGCCCCTGAGCATGAGCGCGAGGAATGACCAGCTGGACGTACACGTGACGAACTTAGGCGAGCTGGTGGTTCATTTGGCTTGAGGCTTCAGGGAGCAGCCTCTGTTGCTGGACGATCCCCATTGTGCCAACAGAAAGGAGGACTTTTTTTTGCAGTCGTGCCATCTACCTAAAAATACACGTCCGACTTGTGCCATCCATCTGCCGGGTAGTGCAGAATGATACGAAGGAATCGTCGTTGCTGGACAATCTCCATGTAAAATGACGCCCACAAAGGAATTGGCCCCCAGTGCGAATATTTCCCCCCTATTATGGCTAGGAGGGATGGGAGCAACGAATACACGCAAGAAGGTTGGCGGACGTCTTGGGTCACAGCGGCAGGGACTCCTTTGGTTCTGCCAGAGGAGGAGGCAGATGAGGCCGGCCGAGACCATCTTTGTGGCTTTCGGCGTCTCGCTGACACGGAAACCACCCATGATGGGGGGATGGTGGCGAAATCCAAAAAACGCAGCATGCAGATATCCTGGTGTTTGAGGATTCCCCCAGAAATACCAACAACAAATGCTTTCCCACGGTTTGAAAGTGGCGCAGGATTTTTTGCCCATCCACAGTATGTTGCGACTAAGGCAAATGGCACACTTCGGGATGTCACCTTTCGGCGAACACTCAAGTCAAGGGTCACAAAGCAAGAGATAAGTGTACATAGAAGCAGACACGGATTCGATATGTCTGTGCATCCTGTACAAACATATACACATACGTAGCAGACACGTACAGTCACCATTCACCATCTACTGCTGTAATTACAGAGGATGTCAAATTATGCAAAAGGGACTCGACTCAACATATGACCATGTCAGTTTGGAGGAACACTTAAGGTCGCATACAAGCCAGACAACAACATACCATGCCAAAGCATCTTGAAGGATATACCCACCACAACCAATTATCCATACTTTGCTACATGGCCATGAGTTCCCTATGAACCCGTTGAAACGCGATTGGGGGACATAACTCCAACCACCGAATTCGTGCAGCAGAGGGCATGGGACCCATTTTTGCTTCACACCCACATCATTCTCCCGGCAAGGAGGCAAGCAGGCAGGTGCGGACAGACGGGCCGAACAGGCAGACAGAGATACATGGGACGGAATAGAGTGACATGGAATGAAATGGAATGAACTGGATTGAACGGAATAACATGGAATGGACTGAACTGGAATGAAATGGAACGGAACGGCATGGAATGGAACGGATCGGAACGGAACGAACCGGATGGATGAATGAATGAACGAATTAATGAATGAATGAATGAATGAATGAATGAATGAATGAATGAATGAATGAATGAATGAATGAATGAATGAATGAATGAATGAATGAAAGAATGAAA